CCCAAATCAGCATATTAAACCACTAAATTCACCACAAAAACAGCCATAACATCTAGCCACTAATTACCCCTAAAATCACCTTAATTAACCCCTAATTAACCTTAATCCTATCTAGAAGTGCTTGATTATCCTAATTAGGATTTAGGAATAATTACTCACTTAATCCTAAGCTCCAAAGAGTGGCTGAACCGGTGAGGGAATGGGCGGACCGAGCGGGTTCACGGCGGTGCAAGCGGCGCCCGACGGGCCAAGGCGATCTTCACACGGCCGAAGGGGAAGGAGAGCTGGTCGGCGGTTGGGGAAGGAAAGAGAGTCGGTCGGGTGAGGGTGGTGGTGGCGACGGCTCACGCGGACGACAGCGGCGATCGTCCTTGGCGAGCAGCGGTCGTAGCTCTTCCCACGCGGCCGAGGGAAAGGAAAGAGGGAGAGAGTGAGGCGTGAGGGTGGCAAGATGGTGAGGGACGGTCGGCTGGGGGTGGCGCAAGGCGGCTGAGGACGGTGGCACGGCGACGACAGCGTTCCTCCGACGATCAACGGCTCACTACCGAGAGGAAGAGTGGGAGAGAGGAGTGTTGTCGTGGGGGGGAAATGGCAGGATGAAGAGGGAGGGAGAATGAGGGAGAGATAGAGTAAGTGGAGAGTTGAATTATTGTCTAATTTTCCCTGATGCCTATCTTGCCCTTCACTTCAAGGGTTGAGATTAAACTAAGTCCAATAATTGAGGGACATCTTGGTCCTAATTTTTCTGAATTATTGGGGCTGATCTAGACCAAGATTTAAACACTAAAATACCCTCCAATTAATCCCAAAATTCGGAACACAATTATAAGGCCTAGGGGCAAAATCGTAATTTTCCGATTCCGAGCCGAAATTCCAATTTTCGACCGTACTGATCCCAAATATAGCTGGCCACACTAAAATGACGTCGTCCTCGCAAAGTAGTCGCGTACATCCACGAAATTCAACGTCCAAGTCTGGATCCAATTTCGCGATCAAAATTGCTCAATTACAATTTTAGGGTCTCTCACTAACGGTCGCTGTTTAGGGGTTACGCGTATCGACCTAGGGTTACCCGGGTCGTGACGGTCTCGATTACCGGGAAAACGCGAGGATTTATCGCTAGTTCCGGAGGTCGCGATCGTTCGGATTAAGTTCAGGATTTGTTCGCCACGCGTGCTCTCGGTCGTGCGGAATCACCCGCGATCCGATCGTACGTCGTTGGCCAAACCAAATCTGTCACCTTCCTAGGATCGGCCCACATTGGCCGAAAATATTTCCTCGTCATTTCTCGGAATCGGTGCCCGATTCGCGATCGAGTCCCTGGTCCACGCACCATTTTACTAGTTAGCCATTCCCTTTTGGTTAGTATCCCGAGAATGATCAGTTCCGGGCGAGATTTACTAAAATTAAATGAGATATAATATCTATTTCATTGATCCCGGGATTGGGTCGAAATTCAGGATGTTACAACTCTTCCCCCTTACAAAAATTTCGTCCTCGAAATTTACAATCTAAACCTATCTATTCAATCAAATGGGGGTGCTAACGTCGCATTGACTCTTCGCTTTCCCAGGTGGCACCTTCTGTCCTGTGGTGCTCCCAAACAACTTTGACCATCGGGATCGTCTTATTCCGTAGCACTCGATCTTTTCTGTCCTCGATCCTCACTGGTCTTTCCACGTACGACACCTTGTCGTCCACGTCTATCTCCTCGTACCTCAGAACGTGGGTCGGGTTTGGTTCATACTTTCTCAACATTGACACGTGGAACACATTGTGCACTTGAGACAGATTAGGCGGCAAGGCAAGTTGGTGGGCCATATCTTCGATCTTATCTAGAATCTCAAATGGACCGACATACCTCGGGCTCAGCTTTCCTTTCTTGCCAAATCTGGACAATCCTTTCATAGGCGACACCTTGAGAAATACATGGTCTCCAACTTGAAACTCTAAGGGTCGTCATCTCCGATCTGCATAACTTTTCTGGCGACTCTGAGCGGTCCTTAACCTCTCCCGAATAATTTCAGCGGCTTCGACCATCTGCTGCACCTGTGATACTTCGCTCTCCAACTTCGTCCCAACACACTAGTATCCTATACACTCTGCCATACAAGGTCTCAAACGACGCCATCTGAATACTTTGCTAATAACTATTATTGTAGGCGAACTCCACCAGGTGTAGCTGCTCTTCTCATTTGCCCTGGAAATCCAATACACAAGCGTGCAACATATCCTCCAAGGTCTGGATTGTCCTTTCTAATTGGTCATCCGTCTGTGGATGATAGGCCATACTGAACTGCAACTTTGTTCCTAAGGCCGTCTGTAGACTTTTCCAAAAATTGGCTGTAAATCTCGGATCACGGTTCGAAATGATCGTTACTGGTATTCCATGCAGTCTGACAATATGTCGTACGTACAACTCTACGTACCTTTCCAACTCAAAATCCTTTTGCATTGCCAGGAAGTGCGCTGACTTAGTCAGTCGATCCACTATCACCCAAATAGAGTCGTGCCCTCTCTGGCTCCTTAGTAATCCCATGACGAAATCCATGGTGATATGCTCTCATTTCCATTCAGGGATTTCTAATGACCGCAGTAACCCTCCAGGCTTACAGTGTTGTGCCTTCACTTGCTGACATGTCAGGCATTTCGCCACATGCTTGGCCACATCCTTTTTCAATCTATTCCATCAATAATGCTGCCACAGATTATGGTACATCTTTGTACTACCTGGGTGGATACTGTAATTGCTGCGATGTACCTCCCTTAAAATCTCCTCCTTAAGCCCCGCATCATCGGGCACGCACAGTCGTCCTTGGAACTTTAAAACTCCGTCCTCGCCCACTTGAAAATTCGATTTTCTTGCAGCGGCGTCCATTCCAACAATCTTTTGTATCTCTTGGTCCGTAGACTGTAGTGCCTTAACCTTGATTTGGATCTCCGGTTCAATTTTCAATGCAGCTAGCAGGTTAGACATCCGGCTCACTTCGAACTTAAACTCTGAGTCTCTGAGCCTTTCTAACAAGGTCTACTCCCTGATCATCATGAGCGCCATACTCGACTTCCGACTTAGTACATCCGCTACTCGATTCGCTTTCCCGGGATGATATAGGATGTCGCAGTCGTAATACTTAAGACGTTCCATCCATCGGCGCTGCCTCATATTTAATTCCTTCTACGAAAATAGGTACTTGAGGTTTTGATGATCCGTATAAATCTGGAACTTTTCCCCGCACAAAGAGTGCCTCCAAATCTTAAGGGCTACGCTGCCAACTCTAAATCATACGTCGGATAATTCATCTCATGCGGTCTTAACTGGCGTGACGCATATGCGACTACCCTTTCGTGCTGCATCAATACACATCCGAGTCCTCTTAATGACGCGTCACTATAGACCTCAAATCCTCCTGGTCCGGATGGAATGGTTAATACCGGGGCGGTTGTCAGTCTATGCTTCAACTCCTGGAAACTCCTTTCACACTTTTCATCCTACTCAAACTTAGTTTCCTTCTTAAGCAGCCGTGTCAACGGCGTGGCTATAAACGAGAACCCTTCTACAAAACGTCGATAATAACCAGCCAAACCTAAGAAACTTCGAATCTCCGTCACTGATGTCGGCCTTGGCCACTTAGTTACTGCCTCAATCTTTGTCGGGTCCACATAAATTCCATCTCCCGAAATTATGTGTCCAAGGAACGCTACTCTGCTAAGCTAAAACTCGCACTTACTAAACTTGGCGTAGAGTGCGTATTCTCTTAAGGTCCGTAGTACCTCGGTCAGGTGTACCTCATGCTCTTCGGGCTTTGCGAATATACCAATATATCGTCAATGAAGACGATGACGAACTGATCCAAGAACTCCTTGAATACCCTATTCATTAAGTCCATGAAGGCAGCAGGAGCATTGGTCAGACCAAAGGGCATCACTGTGAACTCATAGTGCCCGTACCTCGTTCTAAAAGCGGTCTTAGGTATGTCCTCTTTCCCGATCCTTAACTGATGATATCCGATCCGTAGATCAATCTTAGAGAACACTGAGGCTCCTTGCAATTGGTCAAACATGTCATCAATCCTCGGCAGTGGGTACTTATTCTTAACTATCACCTGGTTCAACTGCCGGTAGTCTATGCACAATCTTAAGCTCCCATCCTTCTTCCTTTCAAACAGGACCGACGCTCCCCATGGAGACACACTAGGGCGAATAAAACCTTTGTCCAATAATTCCTACATCTGGACTTTCAATTCTTTCAATTCCGACAAGGACATTCTATACGGTGCCTTAGAGATCGACTCTGTTTCTGGGGCCAATTCTATCACAAATTCCACTTCTCGCTCTGGTAGCAAACCCGGCAATTCCTGGGGAAAGACCTTGGAAAAATTGCACACTACGGGTATCTCTTCCAATTTAGGTTCCACCACTGTCGGATCGACCACATTCACCAAATGCCCTTCACAACCTTCATCCAACAATTTGGTCACCTCGAGCGAAGAAATCCAAGGGATCGAGGTTCGTCCTCGGTTTCCCTGAAATTCAAATCTAGGCTGCCCAATCGGGTTAAAATGGATCACCCTATTGCCACAATCCATTGCGGCTTTCTGCCTTACTAACCAATCCATTCCAATTATCACATCAAAATCAAACATGGCCAACATTGCCAAGTCAATCTTTTCTTCTCTACCCCCGATAACTATCTTACCGTTAGGACACCCTAACGACACTAACACCTTATCATTCAATGGAGTCATCACACATAGCATAGTCTTAAGCATAACAGGCTCAATCCCAACCAGTCTAACAAACTGCTCTGATATAAACGAATGGGTCGCCCCCGGGTCAAATAATGCATACGCAGCATGATCACATAGAGAAATCGTACCTGTGACCGCACTTGGTGTGTCCTCCGCCTCTCTTCGCGCCATTGCATAAACCCGTCCTTGCGCAGGCGGTCGTCCTTGATTAGCCAACGGGGGATTTCCGGCTTGGTTCCCTACTCGGGGCTGTTACGGTCGCATCTGAAGTCCTGAAGGGCGCTGCTGGGGACAATTCCCGATCTGGTGCTCCAAACTCCCACATTTAAAACAAGCTCCAAATCGGTTCGGTTGGTGGCTCGGCTTCCCAATGTTCTTTCTAGCCGATGGGATGAATCGCCTGTTTCCCGCCATCGGCTTCTTCCCGAAATGGCGGTTGTCCCTAGTCTGAGTGAATCGCGACCCAGAAGCGGCTGCTCTTTCTAACTGATCTCGCTCTATGGCTTGAACCCGTTCATACATTTCCCCGTAGTCTTGGATGTTCAACGAAATCATCTGGCTTCGAAGATCCGGCTTTAGTCCATCTCGGAATCTCCGAACTTTATCCTGCAGATTTTCAACCATTCTAGGTGCAAACTTGGACAGTCTAGCGAACTCCGCTTCATACTGGTCCACGGTCATCTGTCCTTGGCGAAGTCGCATAAATTCCGCTAGTTTCCTTTCTTGTGCACTCTCCGAGAAATACTTTCCATAAAAACTTTCGGTAAACGCGGCCCAAGTCTGGACGGTACCTTTCGGAAACACTCTATCTCTGGTGGCCTTCCACCAATCATTCACGTTGTCTTGCAACTGATATACTGCCAAGGTCACTTTCTCAGTCTCGGTGCACCCTAATACCTCGAAGGCTTTCTCTAACTCTTCTACCCAACGCGGTGCAGCCTCGGGGTCACCCCTTCCATTAAACTTAGGCGGTTTCAACTTCAGGAACTGTTCTACCAACTGGTGCATCTGTCTATTTCCAGCTACCTGAGCCTGCCCAAGATTGGCTTGATTTCCATTGATAGCAGCAGTTGCTGCGGCCTCAGCAGCCTGAGCAATATTGGTGGCCCTTTCCTGAGCCTGCTTACTCATCAAGTTTTCTATCTCTTGCAGGGTATGAATAACCTCATCCATTCTAGGATCTCTGGCCTCTTGGCCCATAGCACACGACTGCCCTTGAGTTTCCTTTCCTCTTCTTCTCATCTTTACTGACCTCACTACTCGCCTACCTGCTATAATTCCATTCAGGAATTAGAGACCTAAACCAATCTAAACCGGTCTAAGGTCCTAGGCAGGGAACTAGCACAACAGCAATAAATCACTCAGCATGCGGCTAAGCACCAAAAGCACAGGACTTCAATCCAAGGAGATACACGTATTTACCTCAGGTCCTGCCGCACTTGCACTTTACGGTCAATTCATATAGGCACTCAATCAAAATACAGACAATCAGGAGGTACACGTAGCACACAAGGTCTCCCTATTGGCTCCCAAGGTCATTGCTCCTTATCACTCTAGGCTTCGACTGAATTGGACCGAGCTGACCTTGCTATGATACCAAATCAACGGGGGATGTCACGCCCTGAACCCTACGGCGCGCGAGCATCCCAATCGTGGTCGATATTGATGTGCGACGTCCTAGGATGCGTCGCTGACCCAAAACCCAACGCAGAGATTAAAGCACACGCGGAAGCAATAATTAAATCACCCGTACAAATCAAACAACACGAGACCAAGGATAGCACAAACAACAAACAACAGGGTTACAAATATACACTTGCATTAACATCGGGAAACATATACATTATCCATTTACACCAAAACACAACACATCAAAGCAGGTCAACGGCCATTACTAACAAAAAGGGGTAAGCGGCCAGGGCAGTCAGGGATACTAAGACTAGAAAGGGCTCCGGTCAAAAAGGTATTGGCCCGATCTAACTGAGGCTAAGGCTACCCTACGGAACCCAGCCTGGATCGGATCCCGAGGACTCGGAAGAACTGTCAGACAGCTCGACCTCGGAGTCTAGGAAATCCAGCTCGGACTCGGCCTCTGCTGGCTCCTCTTCAGAATCCATCTCCTCAGGCTCGCCCTCCTGCTCGGGGTCCTGCTCTATAGGCTTTGGCTCCTCATCCGACTCCATCGGCTTCGGGTCAGAGTCCCAATCCACTGGCTCCTCGTCCATCGGGTCTGGCTCATCCATCTCCCAGACAACAGGTCCATGCCAAACGCCAGCACTAGAACTCCCCTCGGACGTATACTCGGGGCTCGCCAGGTCTCCATCCTGACGCTGGGGATCTATGTCTCCTAACCCGTTGAACGGGACGTCAAAAGTCCGGAGGGGCCCAAAGGTCCCGGAATAGTCTCTAAAGCACCAAGCGATATACTCGTGGGCCTGAAAGTGCTGCTCACCCACGTCAACCCATACTGTGGTAAAGTGTCTAATATACGTATCCCCGTTCCCAACGAGGTACTCGGTCACGTCCCGGTCTATCCGAGACAGAATCCCAAAACGTATAGGTACATCAGACATCTTCAAGGCCGGGGGTCTGAAAAGTTGGGTTTTAACAAACAATGAGAACGAATCTCAGCGAGTAAAACCCCCTAAACTTAAACTAGGCTAACATGCACCTTCTGACAGGCAAACAAAACACATATAACCAGTAACAATTGACAATCAATTGACCTAGGCCCTCGGGCCCAGATCGAGCGCACAATTGACCCTACAGGTTAGGCATATAATAATTACAGTAATGGCACATACGCGACAGGCTTAGTCATACGTACACCATGCACATGCTCATGCTTGTTAATGCCTGTATCGCACACGAGTCACCGATACGCACATGCTTGCACGACTGTCAATGACTCTTGCATATTGCCAATTTCCAATTAAAAGTTCGACCCGCGAAAAACGCATCAGGTCTGACCCGTGTAAAATGCATTAGGTCTATAACAATTCCAACACTTCCTGGCCCTCGTAAAACGCATGAGGCCCAGTGTCTCTAGCCCGCGTAAAATGCATCAGGCGCAACACCGATCTCCATATACGGACCAAAACCCGCGTAAAACGCATCAGGCTGGTCGTCTTCCAGTAGGACCGGGCATCGTCCCGCGTAAAACGCATCAGGACAGTTAAGTGATCACATGCTCATGTCAGGCACGTATACTCGCACAAGTCCCGTCTCAAGCCAATGCTCAGCATGTGAAATGCGTGACCATGCAGTCCAGCACTCGAGCAACAATGCAATTCACAATGAGCACACAATTCCAATCATAGGTACATAATCAAACCATATCAAGTCATGCTCAAACAATACCACGGCTAACTTGCCCACTTAATCCATTGATTCAATTCAGCCATAACGTGCTCAATTAATACACTAGCATGTTCAAATAAGCAATTCAATGCAATTTGGCTTCGGCATGCCATCGGCACATAATTTATGCAATTAGCACAACACAAACTCGCACGCTCGAGGCCCGCCATGCCACTTCATTCTCGGCCACTTTAGGACACGCAACATGGCATCACAAAATTAACACGATTAAGGACAAATTAGCCACCGATCAGTCAATCTGGACATCCTCGGCAAATACACAATTCAATCCCAAAATTGACCAAACTTAATCCAATTAATTCCACCATGGACAGTCACCTATTCGGTCATTCTAGGCCATTGATTCCACTCCCAAATCAGCATATTAAACCACTAAATTCACCACAAAAACAGCCATAACATCCAGCCACTAATTACCCCTAAAATCACCTTAATTAACCCTAATCCTATCTAGAAGTGCTTGATTATCCTAATTAGGGTTTAGGGATAATTACTCACTTAATCCTAAGCTCCAAAGAGTGGCTGAATCGGTGAGGGAATGGGCGGACCGAGCGAGTTCGCGGCGGCGACGAGCGGCGGCCGACGGGCCAAGGCGGTCTTCACGCGGCCGAAGGGGAAGGAGAGCTAGTCGGCGGTTGGGGAAGGAAAGAGAGTCAGTCGGGTGAGGGTGGTGGTGGCGACGGCTCACGCGGACGACAGCGGCGGTCGGCCTTGGCGAGCGGTGGTCCGGTGAGCGGCGGCGGTAGCTCTTCCCACGCGACCGAGGGAAAGGAAAGAGGGAGAGAGTGAGGCGTGAGGGTGGCAAGATGGTGAGGGACGGTCGGCTGGGGGTGGCGCAAGGCGGCTGAGGATGGTGGCACGGCGGTGGCGGCGTTCCTCCGGCGATTGGCGGCTCACGGCCGAGAGGAAGAGGGGGAGAGAGGAGTGTTGTCGTGGGGGGGGGGGGGGAAATGGCCGGATGAAGAGTGAGGGAGAATGAGGGAGAGAGAGAGTAAGTGGAGAGTTGAATTATTTTCTAATTTTCCCTGATGCCTATCTTGCCCTTTACTTCAAGGGTTGAGATTAAACTAAGTCCAATAATTGTGGGACATCTTGGTCCTAATTTTTCTGAATTATTGGGGCTGATCTAGACCAAGATTTAAACCCTAAAATACCCTCTAATTAATCCCAAAATTCGGAACACAATTATAAGGCCTAGGGGCAAAATCGTAATTTTCCGATTCCGGGCCGAAATTCCAATTTTCGACCGTACTAATCCCAAATATAGCTGGCCGCACTAAAATGACGTCGTCCTCACAAAGTAGTCGCGTACGTCCACGAAATTCGACGTCCAAGTCCGGATCCAACTTCGCGATGAAAATTGCTCAATTACAATTTTAGGGTCTCTCACTAACGGGCGGTTGTTTAGGGGTTATGCGTATCGACCTAGGGTTACCCGGGTCGTGACGGTCTCGATTACCGGGAAAACGCGAGGATTTATCGCTAGTTCTGGAGGTCGCGATCGTTCGGATTAAGTTCAGGATTTGTTCGCCGCGCGTACTCTCGGTCATGCGGAATCACCCGCGATGCGATCGTACGTCGTTGGTCAAACCAAATCTGTCACCTTCCTAGGATCGGCCCACATTGGCCCAAAATATTTCCTCGTCATTTCTCGGAATCGGTGCCCGATTCGCGATCGAGTCCCTGGTCCACGCACCATTTTCCTAGTTAGCCATTCCCTTTTGGTTAGTATCCCGAGAATGATCAATTCCGGGCGAGATTTACTAAAATTAAATGAGAAATAATATCTATTTCATTGATCCCGGGATTGGGTCGAAATTCAGGATGTTATAGTTGTTGCATTATAGTGAAATAACTAATGTGCAGGGTTGGTGCATGAGTTATGGCGAGGCACGGTTGTTGGTGCGAGTTTTAGTACGTTGATTGTTAGATTGCATGTTGAGACTTGTCTAGGGTACGCATTGGCCTATGTGGGGTTTAGGTTGTTTACTTATTGAGATTTATTCTCATTGTTGAATTATAAACATTTCAGATCCCCGATCATGACTAATTTAGAGGTGCCGCCATAGTACCTCGGGGATAGAGGATGGGTCAAGTTACCCCGTCTTTTGAGTGCCCCTTTTTGTAGAGCAGTTAGGCTACTCAACCACCGCCCCCTTTTGTTGAACGTGGTTTGAAGTTAGTAGCCTGGGTTGATGTTGTGTATTTGTGAATAATGTATGTTATGCCAGGTGTATTTAATGCATTGGTTGTTTGAATGCGTGTCTTCCTGCTATCCCTCTTGAAATGCTTGTTGTCAGGGGTGTTCGAATTTGCTTTCGCTTACGTTCGATCGCTAGATAGTTGGTTGGGTCAGCGACGAGTCTTGGGACGTCGCGTTCATAATTGACCCGAGAAGGCATGCCGCGTGCTCGCCGGGTTCAGGACGTGACACGAGTCCTTTGGTCGCGTGAAATTAGATCCCTAGCTAGCCTTTCCTTAATGGTTAGTAGTTCGAGAGTGATCAGTTCCGGGTGAGATTTAACGACAAGCATATTGATGAAATACTCATTTCATAAATCCCGAAAATGGGTCGAAATTCAGAATGTCACGACTCTTCCCTCTTACAAAAATTTCGTCCTCGAAATTTACAGCCCAACCCAACTACTCAAACAAATGGGGGTATTGACGTCGTATCAGTTCTTCACTTTCCCAAGTAGCATCTTCCGCTCTGTGATGTTCCCAGATCACCTTGACCAATGGAATTATCTTGTTCTGTAATACTTGTTCTTTTCTATCCTTGATCCTCACCGGTCTTTCCACGTACGACACCCTGTCGT